GTATCTATCTATCTATCGTTCTATCTATCTATCTATCGTTCTATCTATCTATCAAATTGTGTCTTTCTATATCTATCTATCAAATTGCCTATCTATCTAATTGCCTATCTATCTATCTATCTATCAAATTGCCTATCTATCTATCTATCTATCTAATTGCCTATCTATCTATCTATCTATCTAATTGCCTATCTATCTATCTATCTATCTAATTGCCTATCTATCTATCTATCTATCTAATTGCCTATCTATCTATCTATCTATCTAATTGCCTATCTATCTATCTATCTATCTAATTGCCTATCTATCTATCTATCTATCTAATTGCCTATCTATCTATCTATCTATCTAATTGCCTATCTATCTATCTATCTATCTAATTGCCTATCTATCTATCTATCTATCTAATTGCCTATCTATCTATCTATCTATCTAATTGCCTATCTATCTATCTATCTATCTAATTGCCTATCTATCTATCTATCTATCTAATTGCCTATCTATCTATCTATCTATCTAATTGCCTATCTATCTATCTATCTATCTAATTGCCTATCTATCTATCTATCTATCTAATTGCCTATCTATCTATCTATCTATCTAATTGCCTATCTATCTATCTATCTATCTAATTGCCTATCTATCTATCTATCTATCTAATTGCCTATCTATCTATCTATCTATCTAATTGCCTATCTATCTATCTATCTATCTAATTGCCTATCTATCTATCTATCTATCTAATTGCCTATCTATCTATCTATCTATCTAATTGCCTATCTATCTATCTATCTATCTAATTGCCTATCTATCTATCTATCTATCTAATTGCCTATCTATCTATCTATCTATCTAATTGCCTATCTATCTATCTATCTATCTAATTGCCTATCTATCTATCTATCTATCTAATTGCCTATCTATCTATCTATCTATCTAATTGCCTATCTATCTATCTATCTATCTAATTGCCTATCTATCTATCTATCTATCTAATTGCCTATCTATCTATCTATCTATCTAATTGCCTATCTATCTATCTATCTATCTAATTGCCTATCTATCTATCTATCTATCTAATTGCCTATCTATCTATCTATCTATCTAATTGCCTATCTATCTATCTATCTATCTAATTGCCTATCTATCTATCTATCTATCTAATTGCCTATCTATCTATCTATCTATCTAATTGCCTATCTATCTATCTATCTATCTAATTGCCTATCTATCTATCTATCTATCTAATTGCCTATCTATCTATCTATCTATCTAATTGCCTATCTATCTATCTATCTATCTAATTGCCTATCTATCTATCTATCTATCTAATTGCCTATCTATCTATCTATCTATCTAATTGCCTATCTATCTATCTATCTATCTAATTGCCTATCTATCTATCTATCTATCTAATTGCCTATCTATCTATCTATCTATCTAATTGCCTATCTATCTATCTATCTATCTAATTGCCTATCTATCTATCTATCTATCTAATTGCCTATCTATCTATCTATCTATCTAATTGCCTATCTATCTATCTATCTATCTAATTGCCTATCTATCTATCTATCTATCTAATTGCCTATCTATCTATCTATCTATCTAATTGCCTATCTATCTATCTATCTATCTAATTGCCTATCTATCTATCTATCTATCTAATTGCCTATCTATCTATCTATCTATCTAATTGCCTATCTATCTATCTATCTATCTAATTGCCTATCTATCTATCTATCTATCTAATTGCCTATCTATCTATCTATCTATCTAATTGCCTATCTATCTATCTATCTATCTAATTGCCTATCTATCTATCTATCTATCTAATTGCCTATCTATCTATCTATCTATCTAATTGCCTATCTATCTATCTATCTATCTAATTGCCTATCTATCTATCTATCTATCTATCTATCGTTCTATCTATCTATCAAATTGTGTCTTTCTATATCTATCTATCTATATATCATCTATCTATCTATATATATATCATCTATCTATCTATATGGTAGACACATGAATAGAAAGCCATACAAGTCACCAATCTGTCCCACTATCCATCTATTTATCTGTCTCTGTCTATCTGTGTAATAGAAAAAGAAGCTTCCTAAGCCCAAATATAAATATTATGCAAAGAGGATTTCAGATTCACTCTAAAATGTATTAGAGTGCAATGGACAGTTTATGTTCGGAGAAAGCACAAAAGCCATCTGAACCAACTTTGCAATTTTCTTCTGAATCCATATGCTATAAAAGAAGGTACATGAATGGAGAGAGTTTTCAAGAGAAAGTGTTTTATTAGACTGCAGGAATACATTTTTTAATTATTCAGGCAAATGTGCAAAGGGTCCAATATTGAATCAATTACATTGCAATCACTTTTATCATAGTCATACCTAAAGAAAGCACAATACAAAATAGTTTGCGTTAGCAAATGTAAAATGTTAGTTTACAAAATTACATGTGCATTATGTGTGCAAAATCTCACATAAAATATTTTAGTAAGAAATACAGACATTATAAAATTAAATGTAATACGGATATTGTGGACAGATTTTTTTTTTAAATGGAAATTTCTTTTAAAGCAGTAATTAAATGTTACAATCATCAAACGTCTTTCAAGTGGCTGACCTTCTGAAGTCAACACACGATAAGAGAACAAAAGCACTTTGAAATGTTACAATAAATGATTTAAATTCTAAGGACACTTTAAAGAAATGTCTCAGCTGCAAGAGGTCTCGTTAATGTTCAGATTAACTCTAGTGGTCATCACCCTACAACTAACACAATACACATATCAGACGGCATCACCTTGGGCTAAATCTGAAATGATTTAATCGTTATGTGTTCCCCCCCCTCAGAATTATGAATTTATATCTCATAATTGAGAATTCAATGCTGACAGTTTTCCCCAGAATTATGAGTTTACATTTCAATTCTGGCCTTTTTTTTTCTTGGAATTGTGAGTTTACAATTCATAATTCTAACTTCTCACAATTGCAAGCTTAAACCTCACAATTCAGACTTATTTTTTCAGAACTGAGTTAATATATTACAATTGTAAGTTAATTAATTCTGATTTCACAATTCTGACATTTTTTCCTGTGAATTCTGACTTTTCAACTCCCTTGATTTATTCCTGCAATTGTGACTGTATATAACACAATTATGACTTTTCTTCCAATTGCATGTTTCTATCTCTCAATTCTGAGTTGATATCTTGCATTTCTGACTTTTTCCCCCCTCAGAACTGCAAGAAAACAAGTCAGAAATGTAAGATAAAAAGTTGCACTTATTTTTTTTTATCCTGTGGTGCAAACAGGCTTCCATAGCTTCTCGCTGATTGTTTGAAGAATAAAAGCTACATTTTAAAATGAGCCATTTCTTATTGACCACAATTACTTGCACATTATCACAGAAAAGATGTTAACAACATACTATTGGGATATTCCCGTAGACATGTACACAGCATTCATGTGCATGGAAATGTGGCCACTGTTCAAATATCAATTAGAACAGGATAATAACAAAAACACATATCATCTATACCGAGGACAAATGTACCCTTTTTGATTTTGCGTTAAAACATGGTACAGATTTGAACTACAGCACTCATGGCGACTCCTTAGAAGTTTGAAAATACCACCACTGAACTGATACAAAACAGCACAGCCCAATCTCGACTGTCACCCTTTCCCTAAAGACACATGCACAGACGCACACGCCGCCTGGGTCCCGCAGATTTCCAGAGAATTCTTCAGAGAACAGCGATAACGAGCAAGAGGAACAGCTTTCATCATCGACCGCACCTGGTGGAGTTGGCAGCTGTCTCCCACCCCCTCCAAAACACACCCAGTCCTGAGTACTACCCTCACTCACACACACACACACACACACACACTAACTGCATTGTCTTTGTACAGCTAACAAAAGCTTTGAAGTGTTCACTGTGCGTTTTCTGTCTAGAGACTAAAGATGGGAATCTGATTCTGATTCCTTAATGGTTCTGTTAATAGTTCTTTTAGTAATTTTGAAGCAGAAAGAATGGATAATGATTGGAAAACTAGTGTACTGCATTCACTACCCTCAGAAGCCTGTTGTCAAATTATGAAATAAAATGTAATGTATTATGCAATTCTTGGAAAAAACAACTTGTTCACATTTTATCTGTTCCTTTATCTCATCTAAAGTTATACCATTTATTTAGTTCAGAATTTAAAAACTGACACACTTTCAAATCAGTTTAATAGAAAATATCAATTTATCTATTCATTCTTTTTTTGTCTGCAAGGCATTTAAATCTCCAAAAGTAAAGTTTTTTTTTTTTTTTTTAGTTTTTTCAAAACTCTCTTGACAACTTCTAGGTAAAATGACAGCTACATTTATTTATTGAAATTCTAAATTTCAAATAATTTTAAATCATCTTTCTTGCATTCAAATTTGAATTGGATTCTGATTTAATTAGCACAGGTTTTCTATTTCTTTTTTAGAACTGATTGATTGTAGGCCTCATTGATCTGAGCTTACGCACCTCAGTTTTTAAAATGAATATTGCTAAAATTATCCACAAACAATGCTTTTTCACTCAAAATCTGAGGTGCATTCGCTTAGAACAAAAAGGCCTACGATCAGTCAGTTCGAAAAAAGATATACAAAATCTGTGCTGATTGAAAGAAAACAAGTTGACAAAAAGATTAAATCCAAGATTTGGTGAAAATACAGTATAACAAGACTTTTATAAGCAATTATTTTAAAAAGCCAGTCATTTTTTGACCAGGAACACCAAATTAGGTAAAGGATTTTGCAACACAAGGGTTAAAAACATTCTGAATTCAGTTCTGAATGACCCACAACCCTAAATGTAATCAAAGTCTGTGAAAAAGAAAAGGTTATAGCCGATTTTCACAGACTTTTTAAATCATGGAAATCGACAATTACACACTCAACCGTTGATTGCTGATTCTCACGCAAGATGCACGTTGATCATCATGACAACAGCAAAGGTGGTTCAAGGTGGCTCTGATACGTTCATCTGTTTTGCATATTTTATTGCTGTTTCTTCTGAATCGTTGCTGGAATGTAAACGTTCTAAAACCGGTAACAGAACCAAACATCCTTAAAACGATTCCCGATGTGGTATTTCTTTAAAAAATTTAACTGGTTCTGATTAAGTTTTTGATTCCCAACCCTATTAGAAACACATTCTCAAGTCAATGCATGCATCTAAAACATATGTGGGCAGATATACTGTATGCACACACACACACACACACACACATACGCTCACAGCTGGCCTTGAATGCATCCGTCATCTGTCTTCATATCACTCCATAAGGTCTTTGTCTTTTCTACCAGATACTACATCTCCCTCCTTCTCCTCCCCCTCCTTCTGGTGCTCCCTCTCTCCCTCCATCCCGTCATCTTCCTCCACTTCCCCTGGGTTCGGCAGACTGCTGTCCTCCCCCAGAATGTGGCACAGCTCTGCCAGCCGCTGCTGCATCTTGGGAATTCCCGAGAGCTGGGTCTCGAGTCGGAGCTTCTCGTCCTGCAGGGAAATACGCGTGGAGGCATCCAGCTTTTCAAAGCGCCAGCCGCCCTCGCCATCAAACTGCAGCAGGTGGGAGTGGTACTTCCTGTCAGCAGAGGAAGTTTAGTTTTATTTCAAAACAGAAATCTCTACTGTCATTTGATCAATTTAATGTGTCCTTGCTGAATGCAAGTATTATTTTCTTATAAAAAAAATCTAAACAGTCTTATGTTAATGTGTTCATGGATGCAATGTCATGATGAATGCTTAAATGATTCACCTGCTAACTTCCGCACACCCTTTCTCCATAACCCAAAGGCATGACATGATTCATCGTGGCTAGTTTTCTGATTGACTAAAAAAGCGTGGGCCGCTCCCTTGACTTTTTATTTTGCCTAGTGCGATCACAGCCACAGGTGTTTTCTCTCAGGGCACCCATTTGTGATTTTATGCGATGTATTCAGCACCTTTAACAACCCATTACTGCAGCTTTGTTGGATAACTAGTCTGGGTGGTCTGGCTTTTTCAGTGTTGTGAATATTACAGTATGTCTACATAGCACATCAAACTCCTACTTCAAAACAGCAAGAAAAATCCTGTTTTCCATCATATGAACCCTTTAATCTTATGTGTTTAGTTCCTGAACGGACATAAATACACTCCCACTAGCAATAAAGGAACTGCTCTTCATTTTCATACGACTGAAAACCCACCAGAGAGAAGGACGGTGTGTAATAGAGAGAAGAGCAATCCCAGCATCCTTTGCAGCTTCAAAGATTTTGCCTTCCACATCAATACTCACAGCACTCGTGCACTCATCCAGGAGTGCGTATTGAGGCCTGTTAGAGATAAACCAGAGATTTATCAGCTTTAAAGGGTTAGTTCACCCAAAAATGAAAATTAGCCAATAAATTACTCACCCTCAAGTCATCCTAGGTGTAAATGACTTTCTTCTTTCAGACGAATCCAGTCGGAGTTATATTAAAAATTGTCTTTGATCTTTCAAGCTGTTTAATGGCAATCAGTGGGTGTTGCATGCATCAGTCCAAAAGAAGTTAAATAAAAAGCGCCCATCCATAAAAAAAAATTTCTCACACGGCTCCGGGGGGTGAACAAAGGCCTCCTCTAGCTAATCCATGCGTTTTTGTAAGAAAAATATCCATATTCAAAACGTAATAATCACTTTAATGTAGCTTGCGC